CAGTAAGCATTTGACGGTGCCTCTCAATCCCCTCCTCATTGGAATCTGTCATTCTTTTGGAGAAGCCCGTCCTTGGTTCCCTCCCCATGGCTACTGACTGGCAACCCGAGTGCCTTGTCACTCAGAACCAGACGTCACTGGATCCGGTTGGAGCTCATTCTGATCGAGCTTTGCAGAATACCACTGGGAATGTCCAGTCTTATTCGGACCAGTTGGCTCATACTGATATCACTGCTCGTGAGGATCAACTTCATCAGCTGGGCTTCAAGTATCCTCATGCCCCTCATCCTCCTCAACCATTGTCGGCGCCAGGCTTGCATCAACAGCATGTAGCGGCCCGGCTTCACCAACGGAAGCTTCGCAGACTTCACTCGGTTGGTCCCAATTCGCAATCTCGCCGGGCACGAAGCAGCTATCTCAAGTCCCAAAAGTACTTGGAATACCGTGCTCGCCCTCGCCGCGATACTGGGAAAGATGGAGAGCCGGTGTGGTCTGATGAGTTGGAGGACGCTTTCCAGCAGGGTAAGTCTATATCACCATAGTGATAGATTGGGCAGAAGCTAACAGCCGATTCCAGCCCTCGAAGCAAACCCTCCCATGGGTCGGAGAAAGTGGTCCGAACGGGGCAAGTCCTATGGCCGCAACGAGTTGATTGCTGAGTACATCTTCAAGTTGACCGGCAAGCGGAGGACTCGCAAGCAGGTGTCTAGCCATCTGCAAGTCCTCGACTCGTTCCTGAAGGGTGATCCCGATTGTGAGTTGTCAAATATCGACTGATGTCTACATCTTCTTTTTTTACTAATACAGTATTCCAGGGGAGCGACTTGTTCGTGAGGCATCACCAGAACGATCATCGAGTGTTCATGGCTCAGCACCCGCTCCTAAATGGAGAACGGCAATGGAGCACCCTTCAGCGTCCAGCCACCATGGCAGCCACGCATACCCCTCATACCATGACCATATGAGATCCATGCAGCCATACGTTGGAGATCTCCCACCCCCACACTATCCCCTTGGCTCCAATATGCAGGAGGCTGCCGCTAGCACCATCCATGGGTTTAGCTTCGACATGTGGGTCAGCGCTCCTCAGCAGGCCAATCGTATTGACAAGGCATTGCATGCATACACTCGTCTGCAGGGTGACCTGCACCACCCCGTTGCACCTCCCATGCCTCTTGAGCATGTGAGCGGGTGGCGGTCTTCTTTCCCTCAACTGGCTTCCATGGTGGATGATATCAACAATCCCGTGGACTGTGATATCATCTTGCTAGAAGTGAACCTGGAGCTAATGACCGACTTCCCTCCTGCGGGATCGCGCCTGGGTATTCAACTTGACCTTGACTACGGTCACCCTACTGCTGGCGACGTTTTGGGTGTCAGCCAGATGGACAACTGGACCTGCAGCACACATATCTATGAAGATAGTCAAAATATCCTGGAGACTTACCACGAACTACCCAAAACCCAGTCGACCAAGGTCAAGCCTCTCTTTGAATCATCCTGGTGGGCCAAGCTGTTCACTCAATTGACCGAAGGGAAGCGTATGGCGGAGGAATCGGGCAACCCCCAAGCTGCTCGGGACGCTGACGACCATACCCGTCGCTTCTTCCGCTCCTTGTCTGCAGTACAAGAGCTCCGTGCCACCCCACCCAGCTCTCGCCGGCTCTCAAACCAATATCAAGGCCATCACGGCGATGAGAGCAAGCGCATGGCCGTTCTGGCCTGGAAGTTCCGACAAACCCGACCCGGCGAAGTTGGCACAACTACTTGGAGACGACTAATTCCGGCACCGGACCGGACTACAACCAACAGCCCACGCCCAGTTTCCGGAGTTGATCGTCCTCCCCTCTCTTTGGATTCCATCCTTCTCAACAAACCATCCCACCAGGGTGTCTACCAGGCCCCTCAGCCCCACGACCTCATCCACCACCCGAGCCAATCCCACTCGCAATGGCCCATGTACCAATCACCCCACGACAACGTGGTTAATCTCTTTAATACCCCCAGCCATCTGGACTTCATGACGTCCATCAGCAAAGCCGAAGACGGACTCAATGACAAAACCGCCGTAACCTCCGTGCTGGACTCCTACTCCACCAGCCTCGCACCCGAGAGCATCCCATCCACAAGCCTCCACGGCTCCAGCGGTGCACCAGTCATGCTCAACGTGCACGACCTTCCGCTCTCCCACCCAGGGATGGGCTACACAATGGGTCACGAAGCATCCCACTACGTGCCGTCTCAGCAGCACAGCGTGAACATGCACGACAGCAACAGCGTGCTACACGGTTTCTTTGGCTCTAACACACATCCACTTGATGATCTCAGTCACGGCCAGGCCTCATGGGGTGCGCACTCCACATCCATTCCCGGAGATGTCGGCGCCGGCAGTTACCACCTCCCTTACCAGCCGGAGCACCATGTGCCTGTGTCGCGCGAGTCGCAGCAGCCACACCACTTCGACGGCCTCTTGCCATCGGAAGACCTAATGGATAAGATCGTCGGGCGGATGTCCAATGGTCCCAGCATGCATGGGGCGGGCCCCGATGCGAGCGCGGGCTATGATAACGCCACGGTGGATGCGGTATAATGAATTATTTAACCAAAACTAAAGTAATGATAATCATTCTGAGAGTGGTCTTTTGTATTTTCTGTGATTTTCTGTGATTTTCTTTATTTTTTCTTTTCTTTCCCTTTCTATTTCTGTCTTTTTTTTTTGTGATACTTGGGGATATCAGGAATGTCTTGGGCGTTTGGAGAAAATTACTTTGGAATATACTTGGCTACTTGGCTACTTGAGTAATGGGAATGCACCAATCATTCGCTTCGATTTGGCTATTTTCTTTATTTTCTTCATATTTCCCTCTCCCGGCTAAATTCTCCCATATCGACCACTTTAGCCGCTAAACAGTGGGGCGACTCTGAGGATTTCTAGAAAAAGAGGCCAAAGGTAGAGACCAATTGAGGAAGATCTGGTCGATTTAGCCTGCAGCTTGGAATTTTGGTATTTGATATTTCAAATCATACTAGGCGGGGTCACATTTATACCCCTCTACGCCCCAATTCCTTGTTTTATTTTATTTCTCTTTAGATCCCTTCATTCACAATGGTTGCCCCTACTGTCAAGCTTAGCAGCGGCTATGAGATGCCCCTTGTGGGGTTCGGCCTGTGGAAGGTCAACAACGACACTTGTGCCGACCAGGTCTACCACGCCATCAAGGCTGGCTACCGTCTCTTCGATGGTGCCTGCGGTACATTCACCCTCCACCAAACTAAGCCCGAATTGACACTAACATCATAAATCCTAGACTACGGCAACGAAGTCGAAGCCGGCCAGGGTGTAGCCCGCGCCATTAAGGAGGGTATCGTCAAGCGCGAGGAGCTCTTCATCGTCTCCAAGCTCTGGAACAGCTTCCACGAAGCCGACAAGGTCGAGCCCATTGCCCGCAAGCAGCTCGCCGACTGGGGCGTCGACTACTTCGATCTGTACATCGTGCACTTCCCCATTGCCCTGAAGTACCTCGACCCTTCAGTGCGCTACCCTCCCAGCTGGACTACAGCCGAGGGCAAGATCGAGTTCGCCAACGCTCCCATCCACGAGACCTGGGGCGCAATGGAGACCCTCGTTGACAAGAAGCTGGCTCGCAGCATCGGCGTCAGCAACTTCAGCGCCCAGCTGCTGATGGATCTGCTCCGCTACGCCCGCGTCCGTCCCGCCACCCTCCAGATCGAACACCACCCCTACCTCACCCAGACCCGTCTGGTCGACTACGCCCAGAAGGAGGGCATCACTGTTACTGCTTACTCTTCCTTCGGTCCTCTGAGCTTCCTTGAGCTCGACCTTAAGCATGCTAAGGATACTCCTTTGCTCTTCGAGCATGCTACTATCACCTCCATTGCTGAGAAGCACGGTCGTACCCCCGCCCAGGTCCTGCTGCGCTGGTCTACTCAGCGCAATGTCGCTGTTATTCCTAAGAGCAACAACCCTACTCGTCTTGCTCAGAACTTGACCGTCACTGACTTCGACCTTGAGGCCAGTGAGCTTGAGGCTATCAGCGCTCTGGACAAGGGTCTTCGTTTCAATGACCCCATTGCTGTAAGTTTGGTTTCTGTGGAGTATTGACTATTATACTGACTTTTCTTTTCTTTTTTTTTTTTTCCCTTTAGTACGGCCTTGGAATCCCTATCTTCTAAGCGTGTCTAGACTCAAAAAGACTGCGAGACGGAAGAGACCCCGTCCCGTGTCCGGAGAGGGAGATTCTCCGCGTACCTCCGCGATATTATGACGATTTTTATGCCTTATTAAATTGAATAAATACATATCAATTCAAACCTTTCCAAAACATCTTTATCTGAGTGTTTCAGAAAATATTCAAACCCAAGTAAACTTCAAATCCCAACCGAATTATCGCAAATTTCGTGGCATTTTGTCGGAATGTCCTTGCCTAGATCCAGAGATGTTAGTTCTCATCCTATTCTGGGACTAAGAATTCGGCTGGATAGAAGGAGTAAGCTTGGCTGGGAGTTCTATAATGAAGCCTAAAATGGCAGGATTTCATCTTGGCTCTGTAACATTTGTCACAGGTTGGGTAGGGCGCGGCGAGTATCCCCTTCCGTTTCTTCAAAGGTATTCTATCTTCATGGCCTTGAGGCCTGAGCCGAGTGGAACGACTATTAGGGGTAGAGGTTCAGATCCATATGCAACTGTCTCAGATTAGCTAGTTGGCTCCTCTGCCGCTATTGCTGACGGTCTGCTAGTCATAATTGTAGCTTGTATCCGGCATTATGCTCTCATGTAAGGTGATGAAGGATACCGGGAATTCTTGCTATTGCAATATACGACTTTACGAGCCGATACCAAGAAGTGCTTCTTTGCAGCTGAAGATTAGGATTGAATTTGTGAAATTCATACCGGCTATTGGATACTAAGCTGGTTCGCAGATGATTCTATATCCGACTATATGCAGAGTATTATCAGCAACACCAAATCTCGACAACGCCTAGTACGGGGTCTTTTCATGCTTGTCCGTTCCTTCAAACGGGGAAACAAACCCCCGCCGCCTCATGCAAAACACTTCCATCGAAGGCTTCCACGAGTCATTCCCAAGATCCATAGTACCAGACGTGACAGTAAGCGCACTTTCGTACTCCGGTGTCCCTGTCGAAGTCGTGTGGATGGGCGAACTGCAGATTGAACAGAAGTGTCGGTGAATAGTATTCTTCGAGCCCGGTGGTTTGTCGTCGTAAACTTTTAGAACGTCTTCTCCGGCGGTGATCTTGAAGTTCTGTCTAGAGTTAGTATGGGATCTTTAACATTCGAATGTGACAGTGTACTAGTAGCTGTCTGGTTCTTGGCTTACCTCTTTCATGTACATGCTGTTTGCCATGAAGACGGACCCGGTGATTTTGCGACATGTGTCGCAATGACAGATGATGTTGGTGATTGGTTGCCCTGTTAATTCATAGCGGATCTTCTCACAGACACAGCTTCCTTTAATCTTGGAGTCTGACATCGTAGCAGATAAGATGATGTTAGGCTCCTCGAGCCCGGTGTTTGATTAAACTCGGAGGTGGATGTATCCACATCAGAGATGCGGCACTCTTATATGACAGATTTCAGGCCCCCAATATGGATCATTGGGCCTGAGACACCTTGCATATGCACTAAGTACATCGGCCAATAGAACTGACGAGAACTCTTTGGATCCTTGTAGAGCTTTGTCGACTGTTCTACACCAGGGCTATCTTTCCCCGCACTATTTAGAGCAGATGGAAACTGCTATGACTCCTGCACACCAAGAGGCTGAATAAGACGACAATCAAAGCCATGCTTAGATCCAATATCCATACAGTTAATGGTAGTAAGTGAAAATGTTGTGAATGAATCATCCTGACTCATTGACACCACTTGGACCGCCGATGTCCGATAGTGACGCGATCAGCGAGACCACCCGTCACCCCAAACTTGATCTGTTCATCACAAGATGACTCGCAGAGTCTTGCAATGCAGTCCGATTGCGCGCCCGCGAGCTCTTTCGGGACCCGACCCCCCAAAGGAGATTTTTCCAAATTAATACTAGCCCGATAATGGTTTCGGGGAAAGGATCTTAATCCCATTGTCTATGGCCATATTCATCTGTTTCTTAGATAGTATCGAGGAAGACAAGGAGAAGTCTCCAGTCGGATGCAAATACCTATATCAGATTATTTCCACCCTGGAATTTCTGTAAACTTTTATTTGTGACAAATGCACAATATCACTATCAAATCTATAAAGCGTCATCCACATGGACCCTCGATTTCGAGCTTCCTGCCGTCAACGCATATTCATCACCGAACCGGTCATGGCCCCATGCTTCGTCATTATTCATGTCAGACCTAGATATCCTCTGCATCCCATAATTCTTACCAACAGGCGCGTCCTTAGAATCCCCCGTACTCCACGAGAACGAACAGCACAACGCTCGCAGCAACGGACGCATAGTTGGCAAACAAGCGCAAATAATACCGACGCAAGGCTCGACGAAGGTCCAGGTAGCGGCCTCCATGATAGAATCTAGAATGAACCGGACATCAGTTACGTTATTTCGGATGCAGGGGAAATTTCGAGCAAACGCACATGACGTATCGTCATTGAAAATATCGAGCGTAACCACGCGCATGACACTCGCGACACATACACTGTCTTCTATAAGCTTGTATTCCATAGGTATAAGATAGATAGACATACAAACCACCGAGAAGAAAGATACCCAGAATGGTCAGCTTCTGCGATAGGCGTAGTTGGAGTTGTAAGACCATGGGAATCGGCAAAGCGAGGATGACCACGTCAATGAGAAGATTGGATATCGCATTCCCGAAGAAGAATGATTTCGCGTTGATGCAAGTGCCGGACTGGTTTTTGTTCCAGTTGAAAGAAATCGGACGACATTGAACGAGGACGGTGATGAAAACTGCAAGACACCATGCTAGGACTAGGCCGCCGGCGAGTAGACTAGCAAGTTGGAATTTGGGGACGCTGAAGATTCGACGGTAGAGTAACAGGATGGAGACTTTTATAGTAGGGACAAGGAGGGTGTATGAGATTTCGTTTGCGAAGAAACACTGTGGTTGGTGTTAGAGCGTATCGGGCATGTAGGTTCGCGATACTCGCCTTTTGGAAGGTAATTTTCTCTTCAGTGGTTAGGTCACTCATGTGTTTTCCTAGTCCTCCATCTCGGGCCCCTATGATTGATTAGTCGTGAGTGACCTCGCTGTGAGTTAGGGACTGTACAGAAAATGGCTTGCCCGAGCATGCTATATGCCAAGACAATTGACAAACATATCATATAGTCATCCCATCCCAGGTTTGACTTGATCCCTCGCGCAGCAACACGAATGCCAACAATAACCGTGGACAATACGACAAGCGCAGTGCTCACAGCAATGTATGTGTGTCCACGGGCATTGGCACCCATAACGCGGGGAAACGACTTCCGGAGAAGGCAGATGAGTGTGCTGTGCTATAAATGCAAAAAGCCCTATGAGGCAGGTGAATGGCAAATTTTAGAATAGTCGGACGCGACAAAAACCTCCATATGATATCTGAGATATTGAGCCTACACCCACTCCTTAACGCATTAGGCACAAAATACCATGTGAAAATCGGATCTGCAATAAATTTTCTAAAAGTTTCAGATTTAGAACAATTGACGTTTTAAGACCTCAGGGCTGTATATATTTGTCTCATACGTAATACGTCTCCCACGAGGAATACTTTGCCCTGAATGGATTGGAGGACGTAGTTAATATGTATTCTTGGATATGATTGGTCAATTCCGCCATTAGAGTTGGCTGATCCGCTTCCTTCGAGATTTTTCTGATAGAGATTCGCCAGCTGATTGGTCCGTGCTAACCTCGGTGATGGACATCGTCCCGTTTTTGATTGCAAGGTATCCGCAGTTCACAAGGTGTCTCACTAGTATGTTGTATAAGGACGGTCTATTCCGTATTCGGAACTCCCGAGGAAGGACCGATGAATCTCCCACGGCTTCATCTGGCTAAGCTTCCTCAAAGTCCCTTTTTAGCGATCTTTAGCACCAACTTGGCAGTTTCCTCAGGCATGCTCAAGAAAGGACTGTGACTCGCTGGGAGTCTCTCCACCTCAACATTGACTCCCGTCTTCCGCACATTCTCGATCATCATTTCTTGTACCATTGGGATAAGAGCCGCATCTTTGTCACACACAATGTATGCAGTGGGAATGGTCCGATATGCCTCATGTGTGATCGCGTCGAATTGAGCAGACTTCGGGTGAACTACTAGCTTCTTTGCCCAAGCCGCGGCATCCGCAGGAGAAAGGTCATTGAAGAACCAAGTTGCCGGATCAGGAACAGTTAGTAGATCTCTCTCGTCCTACATGGAGTCAGTAAGTATATCCCAGCTCAAATAAAAAGGATTTCATACATCAACTGTAATGAAAGGAGGTAGACGCCCTCCAAACATGCCAGCTAGGCTGTTTCCAGTCGGAGGCACAAAGGCCGTCATGTAGATCAGTTGGTCGATCGCCAGTCCGTACAAGGCGTCTGTGCCGACAACTCCTCCGTAGGAGTGCATCACCGCAATAACGGCCTTCCTGCTGTCAAGGAGCGACTGTGCTGTTTGTCGGATGAGTGACACGTCATCTGCCAATTTCTTTGTAGGGGGTACATCGTTGTTGCAGGTCGGAAGACGAGGACAAACTGTTTCATAGCCCAAGACCTCGAATGCCTTGCAAAACGTGGCGTAGAAGTCCGGGTGGTGCCATGCCCCGTGGATGACCAGGATGGTTGGGCGACTATTGCTAGTAGTCATATTGATCTGCAGAGTCGATATCGAAATGGTGCAGATACAGTTAAGCGTCGAACGGAGGGTGCAGCTGACTATTTTATTTCCGGCAAAGTTGGTTTGATAGCGCTGGTGGGGCGTAAGCCCCCTGACGATCGAGTTCGAAACTGAATTTCGATTAATTTGTTCGTTTAGCCTGCTAAATTAGAGTGGATCGATGAACCCTGTCCGACGTTCTGAATAGCATCATGTCATTCGCCTTGTTCTAGAGATCCTGACTGAAGGCTCCTCGCAGCCTCCAATGGCACACGCAGGCCCTGACATGCGCCGTGCAGATATTATTGCAGACAACTGCCGTGGAACTTCCTACATTAGCACGGTTACCTCGGTTAAAAGGCTATCACAACGCCGTCTGAGAATTTAGCCCCCCCACTCCGAGTCGTATGAAACATAAGTTTCTAGGTACAACAGAGTCGGTTGGTCACAATTCCCTAGCCCAGAAAATTGATGCCAAGACGGCCATTGCCCATCACAAACTGCGGGCCTCCAGGTGGGCAACCCTCGAAGGTTTTCTCGGCCGGTTCCAACCTTGTAAAGTTCCAAGGTTGACCTCGGGGTCCTGAAGATGCCCAGCCCTGGGGAAATCAGCGCATCTGGCAGCAAATCACGTGCAGCGTCCTATAGCGGGTATTCAGGGAAAGAGAGCCATCCGATCGGGAAAGGGAAAGACCATGTTCAGAGCAAGAGCATGATCTACGATTTTGTCAGAAATTATTCGATTTATGTGACTTATCGGAGATATTTATGTACTGTACGTGTGTTGTAGATAGACAATTCCGCCAAGAAGTGCCGATCTCGACGATCCACCATTTTTCTCCAACCTCCGATCAACTTCAACTTCTCAATCACAAATCTACAAACCTCGCAATGGTGTCCCCTAGTCTTGCGCGCATGACAGGGCAGGTCCACATCACCGGACTTCCCATGCCAAGGAACCTATCCGAAAGCAAACTGGTACTGGCCGCGCTCCAGAAATTCGGAGAAGTAATAACATACCGTAACCTCAAGGTACGTCCTCTCTCAAATACCATTCGACAAGCACTGACCTGACAATTCCCTTAGTATGACACAACCAACACCTCACCAAATCCCAACCGCCCCATCGTCGCGATCTTCGAGACAGCCGATGCAGCAGACCGCGCGATAGCAGCTTCGCCTATCACCATTCCCCTACCGACATCCACCTCCACCTCTACCTACACCTCAAAATCCCACCCTTCAACCTCTATTCCCTTCACATCAACTACCAATCCGCCATCAGATACCCCTCGCTCATTGACCCTCGAAATCCAACACTCGCGCCATAATCACGCCTCCGCCCTCAAACGCAGCCCCTTCTACTCCACCTACAACCTCTTCAAAAACAACCCCATCTACGAAGACCTGATTAGTGATGAGACCGGTATCCCGCTCAAGGAACTGGCTGATACACTCTCAAGCAAGAAGTATCCTATCGGCGCTGGCGTCAAGTCTAATATCCAGGAGGAAAATCGACGCATGGGCGCGACGAGCTTGGTGAATATGTGGAAAGAAGGGATGGGGATGGAGATTGAGAATGAGAATGGGGGGGCAGGATTCTAGCGAGAATTCATCTGCGGTGGAGCATGTCGGTGGTGGTATTAGGGAGCCCGGGGAGGGATTGGAGGACGGGAAACGGAGTTCGGTTGTCTGAGCTGGAGACTGGTTTTGGCCTTTTCTTGTTGCTTATATGGGAACGAGGGATGGAAGAACTCTATTCACTAGGACTGCTGCGGTTGAAGCTAGATCAGCAGATCCAGCCGAAGACGCGCTCGTTTTATGGACAGTTGCATTGGCTGTAAGCTGAAGGTGCGGATGCGATTTCCCTCCTGGCACTGAGCTCCACAGACGTGCTTCGCTTCGACTTACAGACAGAACCGTCTGCTGGGAGAGATCGTGCCTCCATCTGGTCTGTTGGCCATGGCCACCCGGAGCTTCTTCGCTTCATGGTGCATGGCCAATATGGTTCGTTTTACCGGGTAGGCCATGTCAACGAACATGTCCCTATTAAATGAAGCAATCGGCTTGCTACATCACCAGGCAGGTCCCTGGTGACACATAAAGGCAGGGAGAGCCTACGAATAGGTGGACCAGGCGATGGCGAAAACGAACTACATGTATATACAGTTCAATCTTATACATAATCAAAATGGTCTTCGTATCCTCCTGGGGCCATGCTTTGCCTTTGGCCCGGGTATTTTCTGGCGTTGAGAATGGAGCCGTGTCTTACAGGACAATCGGCCTTGGAGACGGCCCATAATCATGAAGGCTGCTCCTGGGTCTGCCTGCACACAACTGAATATGCAGCCTGCCATCGAATAACAAAGATAACTTCCGTTGGCCGCCATGATACGATTTCCCCCTGATTTGCCTGTGTTTCATATCAAAACATACCTATATAATTCCCCAAAATCCACAGCTTCGATACCAGAGACCTTGCACTGAATTACCCCGTTTCATCAGTCATATGGTAAGTGTTGACATTCTTGTGAATTGGATACTGCTAACCAGAGTCGAAATTATCCAATGTAAATATTGGTAGTCCCAGTACCTAGGTAGAGCGAGGAGGTCGCATCGTCAGCTTTCTCGTCGGCCTCCCGATCCTTCCAAGGTTCCATTCGTTGGTTGACCTTCTGGCATCTTCCTGCTCATCAACCGCAATATTGCCTCCATCCCATCGTCACAAGACATGAGGCCCAGTACAGAGCTGTCCCGATCACAAAGACGGCAATGAAGAGCACCTCTGCGACCCCACTTTCACTTTCAATCATGTCCTGGGTGCGCTCGGTGTCTTCAGTGAGGTAGCCCTTCACCCGTTTCGCACGGTGTCGAGAACGCCGCATCCAGAAACAGGTAGCACACTCTTCGGCTTATCGGTATAAATTGCCATAGACAGGTGGTGAGCTAGTTCCGTTCATAATGATTAGAGTTCGCTTCAAGCTTATGGCGAAAAAGTTGATCTCAAATGGAAATCCTTACTGTTACTCAACATAAGGCCAGCAGGCATTTTGATTGCCACCGTCGGCGTCTCATGGTTTTTCGCAAGCTTGTCCACAGTCAGAAGTTGAAATTCAAGGTCGCCTCTCTCACGAACCTCGCGTAAAACTGTTGACGTTGGCCACCGCAGAGAAGTTGGCCCGAGAGAGCAGAAACCTGTCATGAAACCTGTCATGGATATTGTTATCTTCCATGTACCGAACGAGTCTTTCGGCAACCATATCCAGGCCGTGGTTGCACGCACACACAACCAGGTGCCCACCTCTGTTAGTAGTCAGGACATTTTGGAGCTTCGACTCAGGCGAAGGTCAGAATCGGAATGCTCGGCAGCATCGCATTCTTCTCTCTGGCATCTCGTAATCTCCGTCTTCAAACTGTGTAGTTTAAACCTCAAATATAAACGAAGTGGCTTTATATAGCTCGATAGATAATGCGTGCCAACTTGTAGTAGGTATTGCAAAGTGCCTTTGGCAAGTACAAATTCCCCCTTACTGCCGAAGAAGCCAGACGCCATGGATGGGGAAAGAAGTCGAAGGAGCTTGGTTTGAAGGATTCCCAATCGAATTGCCCCACAATATGGGATTGGCGACACATTAGATCTTCCCAGCGCAAGTCCGCCGCGGACGTCGCCAGAAACAGGTCGGCTGTGCCGACGTTCTTCTTCACGTAAGCTTTGAGATTCTGATATCCAGGTGGCGAGCCGATCAGAAAGGACGGGTGCACGGAGACCGTTCACAAATGCGCGATCGGCTGAGTAGAGTCAACGCCGTAGGATTACGGCGCTCAAAGGCCAACTGATGGTCATCGGTAGATATGAGTTGGTATGATTCTCCAAGGAAGGTGGAAGGTGGAGGAGAGAGGTAGGAAGAAGAGAGGCATCTGGGTGTTCCAACGTTGCCTCTCAGGTTAGGCATCCATGGCATTCTTCCTCTAGTATAGTACGGAGTACGCGCAACTATGTTTCAATAGTTATAGAAATAGTTAGAGCTCTAGCTATATACAGCATAGATGGAGACTATAAATATAGAACGGCCGTCGGAGTGGTTGAGCGAGACACTAAATACAACATAGATAACTAGTCGACTAGCTAAGTTAGTTGGATATGAAAGAAGAGCCCTTAGGCTGAGATTCAGGAGAGCAGTAAACAAAGAACGAGCCACTATCTCAAGGGTTGTCTCCAAATTTGGCACCCTGATTCGATAGATACAGATACAGATGCGGAGAACGGGGAACTGCGAATGGAAATACCATGGGCCTTTAACTTTGGACCCTTCTCCGATCTGAGTTGTGCATGAGACTATTAAGCTTCATCGACTATGTGACTAGCCCAGAAGCAGATAATTAGCAGATTCCCAGTTGATTCCCGCAAAAGGAGAAAGTGGCAGTGCCAGGGTCTTGGCGCATTTCTTGGCGCCACTAAAAATAAGAAAGTCGATTTTCCACGGTACCGCCAAGACCCAATTTGGCGCTCGTGACACTCCGAGCGGAAACGACTTGGCATATTACCCCCTGATCTGACATTCAGAGACTCTTTGCCAGCTTAAATGTGTTGGCAAACTCTCATGTTCTATAACCTGAAGAGTGTGTTAGAAGTTATTCGAATGCAGAATTTATGCTTCCCCGAACCGCCGACCCCGGGTACGCCGGGTAAGGGGGGCGTCTTGGCATTACTACACCCTCATTTCCCCAAAGGAAAATTCAACGCCAAGCGCCTGGAAACTGGGCAGTGCTGAATAGAGCTGCATCCAGAACGAAGTCAGGCAGCAGGATTGGTCGCGCCAATGTCTTGGAATTATCACTGTGTACATAAACCCGCTCATACGGTGCCTCTTTGCCAAGTGACTGGTTTCATCGTGGTGATTCGATAGCATCTGATGGGTTCCATTGTATTATTACCCTTTTGTTCTAGTAGATGCACTCTCATATTCTCCTCTGAATCTCAATGCACTTAACTTCTGCTCTTCATCTCCCAGTCCGATGCATTTCCTCCGATGTCGGTCATCACTCCGCTCGTGTCAAATGGGGCCTGTGATTATGCCTAGGTGGTTGACCACCCTTTTAACCTTCCTTCTCTTACAAAATGTCCTCGCCATTGAGGTTAACCCTGAGGATGAGAGTACGTTCATATTGTACGCTGGCTAAACACCCCAAATGACTGACATGTACCTCTCCGGACAGCGTCCCTTAAAAATGCCGCCAAGACCGTCGCCACCACTATGGTCGATTACTACAATGCCCGCGACTCGAAAGCGATTCCCGGAAAATTCGACGATACTTGGTGGGAGGGTGGTTCGATGTTCATGACCCTCATTCAGTACTGGTATTTAACAGGCGACAGCCAGTTCAACGATGCCATTCAGGAAGGCATGTACTGGCAAAAGGGCGACGACAACGACTTCTTCCCAAGCAACTACTCCAGTACCTCGGTAACGACGATCAAGTGTTCTGGGGATTAGCGGCGATAACCGCCGGCGAACTGAACTTCCCCGAAAGAGACGGCGAACCCTCGTGGATTTCACTGGCCGAGGGTGTCTTCAATGGACAGATTCCTCGCTGGGATATGACCGCTTGCGGTGGTGGTTTGCGATGGCAGATTTGGCCTTACCAGGATGGATACAATTTGAAAAACGCCATCTCCAACGGCGGCTTGTTCCAGCTTTCAGCGCGTCTGGCACTATACACCAAGAACGCGACCTATGCCGAGTGGGCCGAGAAGATTTGGGATTGGAGTCACTCCACGCCGCTGTTGAGGAAAACCTGGGTTATCGCCGATACCACGACCAACGCTGCGAATTGCAAGGATCATGGTGATCACCAATGGACTTACAACTACGCTACGTACATCATGGGTGCAGGCTATATGCACAACTACGTACGTCTACCCTTGTCCCCGACAAGTTGACTATCGAAACTAACAGGCATTATAGACCAATGGCACCGAAGGCAAATGGCTCGAAGGCGTGACAGGACTGCTCAAGACATCTGAACAGTTTTTCCCTAAATCCGGTGATCATCAAATCATCTCCGACATCACCTGCGAGCCGATCGATATGTGCGATCGCAACCAGAAAACCTTCAAGACCTATTTCACTTCATGGATCGGATTCATGTCGCTGGTAGTACCGACCAACGTCACGGCGGAGGTAATGGGGAAATTCAAGGCCTCCGCTGTCGCTGCCGGTCAGCAATGCTCCGGTGGAAGCGACGGGAAGCATTGTGGAATTCGCTGGACGAAGAAATCAGAATGGGATGGGACTATGGGCTTGGAGCAGCAGATGTCCGTCTTGGGTGTTCTTAACGCTGTCATGGTCCCATTCACGGCCGATGGCCCTTACAATGCTGACAATGGTGGAAAGTCCAAAAGTGACCCGCACGGGGGCTTCCAATCCCGAGGGTAGCATCGGGCCTGCACCGATCACTTCGGGTGACAGGGTTGGCGCGGGAATCTTGACTGCGGTCTTCGTTTTAGTCTGGGTCGGGGCTATTTCTTGGATGCTTGTTGGAGGCAAGTAGATACACTCAATTGGGACGGCGTTAAAACACATGTACATTTGGAATCTTGATACCTTGAGAAATTCAGGCTTTTTGTGATATTTGAGCGTTGAACGACTGTACAATCTCCCTATGCCACACTTCCAACATCATATCGCGGTAAAGCTTTTCCCGCCCAGTGCAGTGCAGATAGATTGCTTTTTGTTCGTTCGTGCTTTCAGACCTCCTAGTCCTCCGTGGGCTCTGGGTCCTGATCACTCTCCTGAGCTGCCTCTCTAGTACTATTTTAAGTTGTACTTCGGAGACGTAGGTGACCTGATGTACTTCTATTTTTCGTGGATGCTTCGAACAATTTTCTAGTACCGTTGTACGCAGCTAATGCCGTTGCTATAATAAGGGGATAACCAGTTGCCTCGGCAGCATTTTCATGATGAGCCACTAAAGATGTCGACTTGCCACAGAATTAGGGCTCAGGAAATCAGCCGCGTCGGGGTTGCGTATTCAGCGTCCTGCTCTAAGCGATGAGACTCTCTTTCTGAATAACCGAACCCTATTGAATAAAGAAATAGAAATCAGCACAAATCCACATTGCAGAGCTATCCACTTATAGGGTAGTCAGGCTCTTGTTCATCCTGTAGACGTTAACATCCATAGTATCATAGTACATATGTAATTATTCAATTTCGCAGATGATGTACCTTAGGTAGGTCAGTCGCAGCCAATTATTAACGGAAACCCTTATCATCTCCCAGACTAGGTTACACAGAGTTAAATAGCCGTTGGATCATCCCATCCTCCATAGATGCCTTATTTTTCCAGACTGAGCCTTCGCTTATTTCCCTGTTTGCCTCCCTAGGCCTCTATAAAGGCCTCTCCTTGCTAGATCGAATGCAGCGGATTCTTCTTCCTTAGTTTCCCCAGAAGCCCAGTTGCCATACCCTCAACAATAGCCAATATGGTAAAGTCCCTCGACAGCTTATTCCAGGCCAAGGTCCTTCTTCAGGCCAGGCACAATCGTTCCCTCATTCCAGTTCCAGACCAGAGCGCTGTTGTGGCCAGTAAACGCCGCGCCAGTCCAGTACGTATTGCGGGAGCCCTACAGCGCCAGCAGCTTGGTGTAGAAGCCAGCCTTGATATCTTCGGCCGTGACACGTACATGATACGGCGTGTGGTCGGAAGTGTAGGGGAATGTGACAGTATTTGCCGCATCTGCCGGGACAGCACCCACCGCCGCTAGAGTGGCCAGGTTCTCGCGGACGAGGTCCTTTCCTTCTTCATCCGTGATGTCTCCGCGGTCGAAGCCCCCTCCGATCAGGAATTCGCCAGGCGATCCGGTGGCGATGAAGCCATTGTTACCCGGAACGATGGGCTGGTTGAAAGGAGTAAAGGCGCCGGCGTTGGTGAACGAGCCATTGAAACCAGGGACATGAGCCACGCCGGCATAGTAACCGAGGAGGAGAACTTGGAGAAGATGACCTGCTCTTGTCTGGAGAGGTCGAAGGACCAAATGTTCTTCTGGATTGGCGGTATGGCGACCAGCAACTTGCGGGCACGAATTGTCTTGGGGGCGCTTCCGCGCTGGGCAACCAAGAGAGTCACACCAGTCGAGTTGGAGTGACGGTCTACATTATGGATCGTGGTGCTCAAGAGGACACTGGAGGCCAGCTCCTTCAGGGCCGCGTCGTACAGGCTCCTGGTGTTGCCTGTGCCAGATAGTATGAACTCGCCGAAGATACTGGCGATCATGCCTGGTCCGAGGCCCTTCATGCCGTACAGGGCCGGGAGTGTCGTGATGTTGCCCGTATACCAGTTGATTTCCGCAACAATAGGAACGAGAGCAGAAAAGTTGTAATTCTCTGCAAGCTGTGGGAAGGGCAGATACAACTCCTCGGGAACGGGGTCCGGGACCAAAAAGCCCTGGTCGATCCATCCGTACTTGCTCAGCACATTCTCGGTGTAAGCTTGCACGGCAGCTTGAATGACCTCCTGCTGGTCATCCGGGGGCGGGATAGGAATTCCCAAGGCGAAGTCATATCTTGTGCTTGGGGTTTCCAGGGTGTTCGTGATAATGGGCACTCTGAGGCGGGCGAAGTACCGCTTGACCAGATCTGTGTTCTCAAAAACGATAACACCAACGTTAGTGACGATGCCGGTGGTAGGGTTGGTGTACGTTTCTGCGTGGCCGCCGATCTGGTCCTTCTTCTCAATGACCACAACGCTGGCGCCGGCGTCCTTCAATTGTATTGCGGCGTGGATACCACTGGAACCACCACCAATGATGGCGACATCAACATCCACGACGTTCGGGCTACAGGTGGGGTTGGACCACTTTGTCTGGTCTTCCGGTCCTGCCCAGCCGTCCCGGTACTGGTTCGCATTCACGCTTCGGAACAATAAGGGCAAGGCAGTGACTAGTTGTGAGAACCTCATGGCGCGCATGCTTTGGAAGAAGTGACCAAAATTAATCTATTGAATGCTATCTGACTGGCTAACTCGGGGAAAGGAGGGGAGAGGAACAGACGAGAGGGAGCCAACTATATAGGAAGCCCTAGGACAATAGGACGTAATATCACATCTCAACACCCCCTTTAAGACTAACTCGGTCATCCCCGTACTTCAGCACTCCCCGAAAAGCCCTTTTCTTTTTCCTTTCTTTTCTTTCTTTTCTATATTTTTCTTTAACTCTATAACATCCATTTGCCACTGTAACGTATTCAGCAAGCGAGTGGGCCATCCAACCCCACCCACCTATTATTGTCAAATACAACACATATGTCTCAACCAGAAGACCGCTGGACTAATTCAACCAACTGCATATGTATTCCACGTCCTGGCTAGCCCCATGGATGTGGGTATTAAGCCCATTCTCTATATATGCTGGAACTGAATATGCAAAGTATAAAAACCAGGCATATGCAAGAACTAGGCAAAATGCATTAAGCTTGGCAAAACTAGGCAAGATACACTAACCTTGGCAAAGCTAGGCAAGATGCACTTGTAGTAAGCTTGCAAAGACTACCTAGGTAGCGTGATCCCACAACATGTACTGGAATGCATTGGTGTGACAAAATAAACTTACACCTTCACGTAGTGTGTAGGGTAAGTAACTTTTATAGTAAAACCAAGTTACAAAAGGTAGATTTAATATTTAATATTATTACTAGGTAGGGTAGTGTTAGAATCCTATTCATTCATGGATAGAATACGCATCTGACTGTTCATATTACTACAGGCAAAATTGGTTATGGCGTTAGCGGAATACACTGCCCTGCCCTATCCCACGCTATTTCTTCAGTACCATTGTCAAACCCCGACCCGACACACGGGGGCGAGCCTCATAATCACCGTAAAAGATATGGTTTTGCCATGTGCCTAATATGTCTACTGATAGGTTGGTCTGCCGGTCTCTAGCCGCGGTGGGCAGCCCAGAGCGGAGTTCTACAGTTATTGACATGAAACGGGATTGCTTGACTTTTCTCCGAGATGTCGCTCATTTCCAGAATGGGCAATCTAGTGGAGCCAATGTCCACCCTAGCGGCCATGAAAAGAGATTCCACCTATTAGACAGAGGCACGACCTATATGCGGGGACTTGCGGAGAAATCTACGAAATCAAAAGCATCTAAAACTAAGACAGACGCCAGGCGCTACCGGATAAATTAGATTCCTCTAACTATATACGTAGGGAACCTTGGAAGTATATATTGTTTCGTTTGCCCGAGCTCCCCTCGCTCTATTTATCTCCTGCTATTCCCAGTTCCACTATGGTTCGTTGTCTTGCTCTTTTTATTTCCCTGGCAGCTGCCGCGAACCTCTATGCCACCCACTATGACGGCAACATCTACACTCTCTCTCTTGATAGCGGAAATGGAAACTCGCTTTCGATCACTTCGTCCTTGAAGACATGTGGTGATGCTCCTAGTTGGCTTACATTCGACTCGTCAACGCGCACACTCTATTGCTCCGACCACTCGGGCAACGGGACTATAAATGGCTCGCTGAGCTCCTACTCCGTAGATCAGGATGGGAGACTAACGGAGCTCGCTAAGACCGTGGATGTGGGCTCCGCAGTCCACAGCACTATTTATGGAGGCAAGCACGGACGCGAAAAGTATTTGGCTATTGCGCATTAGTGAGTGATTCTGATGTCTACTTAAGCCAGCTTTGTAGGCCGGCCTATATACGCACAAACTAACACTCACCAGCGGCGGATCGGCCCTTTCGACCTTTGCCCTACCCCTTAGCTCCGATAAGGAGGCCTTGCAGGTCTTCCGCTACCAAATGTCCCAGCCGGGTATCAAACCTCAGCAGAATGCGCCGCATCCGCATCAGGTGATCCTCGACCCAACCGGTGATTTCCTCCTTGTTCCCGATTTAGGCGCCGATCAAGTCCGCGTGTACGCCATTGATCAGCAGTCGGGGCTTCTAAATGTGTGCCCTAGTTCTCAATTACACCCCTGGTAGTGGACCGCGACACGGGCTGTTCTGGAAATCTACCTCAGACTCAGCGCAAGCCCCACTGACTATGCTGTACACTCTCAGCGAATTGGGCGGCCACTTCAATGCGTTCGTCGTATCATACTTACCCTCCGGTTGTCTCGGGTTCCGGGAGACTCAATCCTTTGTGCCATACCCAGGCGGGCAGTTACCGGCTGGGGCTACACCGGCGGAGCTCGCTATGGCTGGGAATTCTCTTTATGCTTCGATTCGTTTTGATCAAGGATTCCCTCCAAATGACTCTATCGCGACCCTGGCTCGCTCGTCTAATGGAACGGTGACTTTCAGCCAAATCACCTCTTCATATGGCACCATTCCCCGCACTTTTGTCGTCAATAAGAAGGGCACTCTGGTGGCTATTGGGGACCAGGGTTCATCTAATGTAGCCATCGTCAGAAGGGATCCGGAGAGTGGCACTCTTGGCAAGCTAGTTGCCAACTTGCAGGTTGGACAGCCTGGCCAGGCTAGTAATTCGTCGACGGGGTTGAGCAGCATCATCTGGGAAGAGTGAGCTCTTCAACTCAATTCAACTCTCCATGGGAATATCAACGTTGTATAGGTAGCTGTCAAGGTTACCTGTTCTGGCAAGCAAGGGGTCTGTCTAGGCTTGGAACGATGATTGTATATAGAGTAAGACAAAAACTAGAATGCGCACAAAATGCAAGATGTGGTTCTCACTTTCCTTGATATATTGTTGTTCATATCACTGGTAGATATGTAAGAAGAACCTGCGCCATCCAAGAATCGACAATCTCCTTCCAAATGAATTGATTCCCCGAAGCGTAATCAAGCCAGACAATCCACGAACGGCAAACCGATCTTCTCCTGGATCTCTCTGAATGCCTGGAGTAGCTTTTCTTCCTCCAACCTCTTAGCAACCAGCTGCAAGGAAACAGGCGCATCCTTCTGCTTTACCGGGTCGTAATGCTCGTATGCCCAGCTGTCGAATTCGTTCTTCGGGGTGTAAGTGGTGTCCTTGGCATCTCTTACGGGATCCACCTTGGTAACTGGAAACACAAGGGCCGAATAGTCAAGGAGGTTGAATAATGAAGTGTAACCCCAGTACCTCGAAGTATCGTGCAGTGGGGCGGGCGTGGGGAATGCGGGACATAGTATAACATCCATTTCGGGCGCAACATTGTTCCACTCTATATTGGACCCAAGTCAGATCAGAATCAGGAACAATCGTGGGTAATTAATGTACTAACCTTGCAGATAGGCATAGCGGAACATCTCCCGTTTTCCAGTCCAGTCCCACACGCCCTGCTGGCTAAGTTCTTCAATGCCAGGGGTGTCTCGCAAAGTCCAAGACGTGAGTGGCGTAAATGGCTCACCAGAGGACTCGACATGTCTTGTAAATGCCTTTCCACCATCTGGAGCATAAAGCCTAGTCTATATATGTTCATTGGTTAGTCCAGCTCACATTGATAACTTTAGTGATAGGGACCACTTACAAGAATCTCGAGAGCTTCCTTCTGTTGATATGCCTTCCATTCAATAACCTCAATACTATCCACCAATTTAAGACGCTCGATGACTTCCTTCAAGGCCCTTGTCACTGCTGGTGCGGGAGTAACGACATCGTCGGTCCACATTACACCGACGGTTAGCTTCTTGTTACCCAGGTGAATGTGCTTCTCCTGGTCTCTCCAAGGGATTGGAAGCATCATCGAGTCATGGACCCAAGGCTTTGATTCGATTATCGTCTTCATGAAAAGTTCAACGCCGCCAAATGTTGGTGAAATAGGCCCAAGTGTTCCCATAATTGTATCACATCCGAGAACATAAGAAGCGCATCCGATTAGCGGGAGTCGACCGGTCGATGGTTTTAGGCCGTAGAGGCCACAATTGGCGGCGGGAGAGCGAATACTACCACCTGGATCTATTGTTAGCAATGGATAAACCAATCCAGGGAATCTGACAACATACCGATGTCTGAGCCAATTCCCAGAGAGCTGCCATAGAGGGCTTGCAATGCTGACTCTCCGCCAGAAGAACCACCTGGTGTGAGAGCGGTATTATGTGGGTTGGTGGTGGTGCCAGTGATATTGCTGCAAGTTTCAAGAGCCATCTATCCCGAAACCAAGCCATCAGCCATAAATCAGCACAATAGGAAATTCAGATCTGCTAACCAGTCCCTGTGGCTCGGTTGTTCTCGCATAAACAACTGCACCGGCATCCAAGAGAATCCTGACAATATTTGCATCGTCTTGGCTCTTCCGGTCGAGCCAACCGACGAATCCAGCAGACAGGTCTCGCCCCTTGAGGCCTACATGTCCTTTGATGCTAATTGGTAAACCGTGAAGCGGGCCAGAGGGCTTTCCATGCTTTTCAAAATAATCATCCAGTTCGTTTGCGCGGGCGATGGCACGTTCAGGGAGAAGCTCGTAGATGCAGTTGGTCTAAGCAGAAGAATGCTAGTTAGAATTCGGAATCTCGAGGTATTCGCCAGGCACAAGCTACAGCGTTACTCACCAGCTTCTGGGCGATCGCAGCCCGCCGAAGAAAAGCGTTTGTCACCGCGGTCGCAGTCAGTTTACCCGATGCAAGGGAAGCCACCAAGGTCTCGGCGGAGCTTTCTGTAATAGCGATCTCTGTCTGCGGAAGGTGCTTCCTGGGGACATCGATTACCCTGCCAGTGTGCGTATCGGGAAGAGCAGCGATGGCGGGGTCAACGTGCTCTATAGAACGATCGCGCACTGCCTGGACTTTGCGGGCAGACTCTTGCCAGGAAGGTTTCGGTTGAGGCACAGTCATTTTCCCAGAGATTGGGTGGTTTCAGTAGTCCGTATGGGTTGAACGAGTGCTGGGGAATGCAGCACTGTCTCTAATAAAGTCGGATATCCCTCCATCTTCCCCGTGTTGCACGGTGTGCAACCAGACTTCAAGTGAAAAGGCTCCAGTTTCTGGCCCCAATGTTGCACTTTCATTGAGTTTGATGGTTGCAGTAGTGCGATCCTGCCTCCACTGTGTATGCAGCACCGAGAGACCAAACCCACTTTTAATTTAGGCCCCAAATCGTATCTGCCCCCAGAATAGCCTCGGTGATACCCGCCATCCCGTCCGGCCAAGGAGCGGGCCGTGGATCTGCGATCGTCGAGAATTTCCAAGCAGGTGCCATTCTCGCACAAATTTCTGCATGTGGGTAGTGTCCTGCAGCATCCTTGCAAGATGTGAGACAGAGGGATTTTTGTCAGTGGCCCCTCGTGGTTTTTGGGGCCGAGATTGAATATTTGAAATTAAATTTGATGGCTGTCTTGACACTTTTAACCATGAAGGTTTTATGATACTGCCAGTGGGTTAAACCCTCTTCATATCGCCAAGGTCGTAACTTGTGAGAAGTAGGAGTTGGCAATTCCTGTCGGCACATATGACCGACCTCCAGGAGGACTTCGGACCAACACTATGGGTGGTGAACACAATCTTCATTGTCTTGGCCACATTCGCTGTTATTGCCCGCTTTGGGGCTCGACGACTGCGAAAGCTGTCTCTCGGGGCAGATGACTGGATTATCTGCGTGGCTCTTTTCTGGGACTGGCTATTATACGGGATATTCGTGGGATGTTAGTACGAGTGTCACAATGATGACTCTGATCCTGCTAAGGAATCCACAATACTAATACTGGCGGGCTTTCAGGTCGAATTAACGGCCTCGGCAAGCACCGAGAAACCCTCTCACCAGAAAAGGTTGCTACATTCGCAGAGCTCCTCTACTTCTTCCAGATCTTCTACGTGCTAGCTCCTCCGACTGTGAAGCTAGCACTGCTTTTTCTATACCGACGCATTTTCGAGCATTCGAGTTTCTTGCGGATTGTCGACGGCATGATCCTTCTGATCTCTGTGTGGGCAATTGTCATGACTTTCCTCGCTATTTTCAACTGCAAGCCGATTAGCGCCTTCTGGACGACGGAGGGGACTTGTTTGAACTTTAAGGAATTCGCTATCGGCTACGCAATTGTCAATATCATCAGTGATTTTGCGGTTTGGTTGATGCCAATTCCTAGGGTGTGGAACATCCAGCTTCCGAAACCGCAGAAGATTGCTCTGTCTCTGATCTTTGCATTGGGTCTTTTGTATGGGAATTCTCTTTTTTTTACCTCCATACCCGGAGAGTACAGATAAGCCTTGCTAATACATCGTTCTCTCCCAGTGATTGCGCTGCAGCTATGGCCCGCCTTCTCCTCTCGATGCTTGTCCTGGGCGAGTACGACTCCACATGGCTCTACGCGAAGGGATACATGTGGTCCATCATCGAAGTTTCAACGGGCATTGTCTGCACATGTCTGCCAACGATGCGAGTACTCTTGAAGACAGCTTTCGGTGGCGCCTTTGCAAGAATCTTCGGCATGTCCAGCGGAAAGGTCAGCCACCGGCCGTCAAGCAGCACGCCGTGGTCGAAAACAAATGAGTATTATAATGATATTGGGGAGGCAAGGTCGGTGGATGTCTCTTCCAACGCCCATCGTACAAACAATGTTTCTGAATTGCATGCAGACTGGGACACAAGCTCGCAGCGGATACTGGTGACGGAAGAGGTAAATATTGAACTTCGGCCAGTTGATCACCGGCCGTCTGTAAAGGTAGCTTAATCCGGTCACTTGACTAGACCGTTTGTTTCTTATGAGAATGCCTATTCAACCATAATCTCTAATCTTCGATTTGTCACCAGTTATCACCCACTTCACCGGGCCTGTATGGATAAACCTTTATATCAACAAATGCAAAGCTCTTGTGAAGGCTGAAATATTGGCTTCCATTACTTATGGGGGTGGATTAGGCAATGGATAGCTTGTTTATATGAGTCCAGATGGTCTATTTGATTATAGTCCAAGGTAGTCAGTCAAAATCCTCCCTGGGTGACCGAGTGGGTGAGAGACACGAGGTCATCTGATTGCTGGGTAGAACAATGAGCCCGGGTGACACCGCATTGGGAAACTCAGTCAATGGTGAAACTGGTCAGGGTTTCGATCCTCGTGCCAGGAGTAGTTGGGGTACGGATTCTTTTTTTTGTTTTTATTTACTCTCCTATATCAGCCCTTCACTATCAGTCTTCCCTCGTCCCTCTTCCCTCTCGTACCTCTCTTCTCTCTCTTCCCTCAGCTCATGTCCGCCTCGTCCCTACGACAGGTAAGCCCGAACATATAACTAGGCTGATTCGTCTCTCAGCTGAGCCTTCACATTCCCGATGACATACTTGTGTGATCGACTTCACACAGGGACTCGAGCCCACGTGCTGTGCATTGTACGAGAGGCGACAAAAGATGTGAGCTAAAAAAGGGAAATGTCTTGAGCTAGGAAGTATCTGATATCTGATACACATCCGCTCATCACTGCCGTGGCTTACAGAACCTCCGCTATACTAACCAGACAAGCCAAGAGGATTCAATTTGTTGAAAACATCGACTGGGTCATATTTCCTTTTCACTTTGATCAAGGCATCAGAATTAACTCCGAACATATCTTCAGGTGTCATGTTGTCATCTAAAGGCGACGTCAGTACATAACATATCCCTCAAGTCCTCTCCTCTCTTCCCCCTCTGACTCACCGTGCGTGTAGCCGAAGAACGTCGATACCAGCTTATCCGGCTCATGACCGGCTCGTCGTAACTCATTATCACACATATTCTGGATTGTTTCTCCCCATGCCACAAACTCCTGGTCCTTGTTCGGATCGACCCACTGCAGGAGAATAGCCCCATTGAGAGTCTTGGTTCGACTTGGGAAGGCAGTCTCGGTAACGGGCACATCATACACCTTGAAAAGATCAAAACAATCGATCTCGAGACAACTTTTGGCCAATTCGGGCGCTGTGGCGAGTTTGCGGCCGAGCTCTTCCATCAATTCCGAGGCGAATTCAGGCCGAATAGTCGAAGCGAATTTCACCCCAATGGTCTTTTTCCTTCCGCCTGGTGGCATTGCATCGTCGAGCATGGTGTTGGCCTCTGCGTAGGGTCTCATCTCCATGTCCATGCCGATACATTCCAGGTTAACAAGGCTAGAGAAATGCACCCGCCCTTCCTCCTCGGGGCCATTGAAGAAGAGGACCGTGGTGATAACCGGGGCACCCGTATCAGGTGATAAACCGAAGACACATTGCGCTGCAGCCTTCCTCTGTGGATGAACCAGCGCACCATTGAGTGCCTCGACAACTTCTGTCAGTTTGTCGCCCGTGAACATCATGGTGCCGCACCAGACCTTGTTGGCCTGCTTGTGAGTCTGAAACGTCAATTCCGCTGCCACCCCGACATTCGCTCCAGCGCCCCGAATTGCCCAGAAAAGGTCGGGGTGCTCGTTCGCGGATGCGTTTAGGACTTTTCCATCGGCAGTCACTACTTTTGCAGAGAGAAGATTGTCAAGGACTAGCCCATGCTCCGGAGTCAAATACCCATATCCCCCGCGGACAGTGAGCCCCCCACCCCCCGTTTGGCTGGCCGTGCCGCAAACTACGGCCAGATTAAACCGAGCAGCAGTATCGTTCACATCCTTCCACAGTGCACCACCCTGTGCAGTGACAGTGGAGTCGGCTGAGTTGACACTAACGTGTCTCATGCCACCCAGGTCGATCAAGATACCTCCATCACTCGTGGAGGAGGTGTCTGTGGAATGTCCTCCGCCCTTGACTGCTAGGTCCACACGGTTGTCTCTGGCAAAGAGCACGGTGATTGCAAGATCCTCGGTACTTGTCGGGCGCATAACGACTCCCTATATGGCTCATCAGTCAAAGTACGGTGTCCTTTGTGGTGGAATAGAAGGTACCGCTCGTTGAAATCCAACTTCTGACCATCTTTCCAGGCCGTTTTCGTACCCTTCAGAGTCTGGGCAAAGAACGGATGTCGGTTCTTTAACTTGACACCTCAGTATCTCTATCTGTTCACGGGATATTTGGGAGGCCATGATGCTTTGCAGAGACAGTTTAACAATATGGGAAAGACTTGTTTTTGTGTAATGTTTGTGTGCCTTGTTATAAATAGGCATATACTTCAAAGGTTCCTGTTGCTACACTTACATATTTATGTCTCAACGCTATTGTCTCACCACCAACACTGACCTTGACTTCAGTATTGGCCTCTTAAATCGTTGCTAGCCATACACGTCAACACGGAACACATGTATACATATATATGCGATCAGACTCGTATTGGGTATAACAATCTGCAAATCTTGATTTGAGTTCATTTGCGGTCACACACAAACAAGGCGCAGTAGTGTAAATAGGGTTGTAAATAGTAGTGCTCTATCAAGTCCTGTATGACATACAACACTATCAAAACTTACTTCCATTTAACGGCTCTTTCTATATATACATGCTGATCTTACTGGATTAAGCACTCTCTATTCAAAATTCACGTTTGCCTTCTCGGCCCTAGGAGCCACATATAGTAGGGCTGATATTAGATGTAGCATCGTGCTGATATATATGCCATATGTAGGGTCCTACTGAGTTTCCACAAGGGTTCACGGGACCAAATACCTAATGCGAAAGCTATTACATATATCATGACCAAGCTGGGCAATGCATGATGGAAAATTCATTACTATCAAAGGTCTGAAGAGTTTGATCAGACAAGACAGATGCCTCATGTAGCGGAGACTACCTAATTTCCTAATATGTAGATTCGCATCATATACGCAATACGAGGTCCGGTGCATACCTGCCAAAATTAAAATTGACCTTCTCTATTCCGTACGATGCAGATCCAATGCAAGCTATTTTATATAGCATGTTAAGCCGAGAAAGGCAACTAATGACGCAAATTTCAGTACTATAAGGGACCTGAACAGGTTGATCCGACATGAACGAGTAGGCTTTAGCAGCCAATTATCAGTATGTGTAACATATCCCTTTAGGTTGACATAGATCGCTGTTCCAAGAGTGTACGAATTGGTGTTCTTTAGAAAGACAAGTTAGACCGAGCACCATATCTTATAAAGTGGCCGGTGTTTGGCGAGTTTTCAATTGGAGCAAGACTTTCAAACAGCGATCTATTTATCACTAGATCATCAGAATCAGTCAGTCGCTCCTTAACAGAAACATTATCAGCTACTTCGACCATAAAGCGCAATGGAACATCGCCTTGTCCAGCGTGCAAACGCTGTTCCCAATGCAACTGCAGTGATCGATGGCGATGCCAGCATTAGTTATCGAGAGCTCATTGCACGAGCTGATATACTTGTTGAAAGACTACATGGAAGGTCAATCAAGCTCGCGGAACCCGTTTGCATCTTACTTGATTCTGGTTATCAACAGATCATATCACAAGTTGCTGTCCTCCGAGCTGGAGGGACCTGTGTCCCCATTGATCCCTCCATGCCTTCCTCCCGCCTAGTAGCCATGCTACACGATATCAATTCTCGCCTCGTCATTACCAGCAAAGCCCTCGCGGACCGAGTGTCAGACTTTGAACTTATCCAAGTGGAGGAAGGAACTGCGCAGAATATCACTTTGAGCGAGACTAGCCCAATCCTCATAGGGGCAGGGTGTCCGGAAACCCATCGCAGTCACATTTTCTTCACCTCTGGCTCCACGGGACTGCCGAAACCAATCCAGGTCCTGGCTCACGGTATTCTCCATGTCCTAGCCTCTGAGCCGGCTACATTGCTGGATTCATCTGACCGCATGGCTGGGGTTACCAGCCCGGGGTTCGATTTCTCCCTCTTTGGGGTTTGGACATCGCTACTTGCTGGGGCGACAGTCATTCAAATTCCCAAAGTGATCATCACGGATCCATTTGCTCTCAGTGACTATTTGAAAAATAAAGGGATAACAGTGGTGATTATACCAACAGCCCTTTTCAATGTCATTGCCTTGAATGCGCCCATCGCATTTCGTGGCCTGCGCCACGTCCTTGTGGGAGGTGAGGCCGTAAATGTCAAGGCAATGAAGAAAGTCCTCATCAACGACCCACCGGGCAACCTGTGGAATGTATACGGTCCGATGGAGGCAACCATATTTGTAACAGCGTGCCGGGTCGATCTTGCAGAGACACAACACCCTCGCATCAGCATCGGACGAGCCTTCGGGGAATCTGAAATTTATCTGTTGGACGAACAGCTCAGGAATATTACTAGCACACATCAGACGGGGGAGATTTGTGTTGCCGGACCTCAACTGTCATCAGGATATCTGAACAGACCCGAAGAGAACGAGAAGCAGTTTATCCACGTCAATACCGCCACACTGGGAGAGGAAGTTGGGAAATCTATCCGCCTGTACCGCACTGGTGACCTGGCACAATGGAGAGACTCAACCGGTACGTTGGATTATATTGGCCGGGCAGATAAACAGGTTAAATGCTCTGGACACCGAGTGGAATTGGGCGATATCGAGCGTACGCTGGAGAGGAACCCGCAAGTGGAATCGTGTGTCGTTATCCAACACAAGCAGGGGGACTCGGAAGATTTGGTGGCCTATGTGGTTCCAATTGAATGTGAAACGGAAGTTCAACTGTCCGCGATTATCGATTGGGCAAAGGAACATTTGCCTTATTACATGGTACCAGGCTCGATTCAAAGCATCCGGGAATTTCCACTTTCATCCAGCGGCAAGGTTGATAGGAATGCTCTGATTCGCAACTTGCGAAAGGCATCAGAGACAGAAGAACCTGAAGGCCAGAAATCCCCAGAAATAGAGGGCCAGAACGACTGGCTCCAATCGCACCTCCAAGAATTGCTGAACGTGTCACACATTGATCCCAATAAGGATATATTCTCTCTTGGGGTGACTTCGCTGCAGGCCGCCCAGCTAATAGGGAAGATCAAGCACCACAGTGGTAAAATTGTAACGATGGTACAACTGTATGCAAACCCTACCTTGGAAAGTCTCACAGCTCTCCTCCACAGCCCCGACGAAGACAGCACCGGTCCTGTCCAGACAACGCGATGGGTACAGGACTCCCATCTAGCGGATGATGTAGTATCTCCTCCGGATTGGCAATCTACCAAAGAGGGTCAAGTGTTCCTCACAGGAGCGACCGGGTTCCTCGGTGCATACTTACTCCATCAACTGCTATCCATGCCTAGTGTGAAGAAAGTAGCCTGTTTGGCCCGAAGCCGTGGCCATCTCACGGCGAACGACCGCATTCAGAAAGCGTTGGAAAAATATGACCTGTGGGATGGCAGGCTGGAGAAGACTCAAAAGATCATGGCTCTTGATGGAGACCTAACAGATGTCACCCTCGGTCTGGGAGAGGACAAGTTCACCTGGCTCAGCAACTGGGCGAGCGTAATCTTCCACGTCGGTGCACGAGTAAACTGGTGTGAACCTTACGAGGCTCTTTATGCAGCCAACGTAGTTGGCACGCGGACCATCATCCGACTCACAACATTAGGCAGACGCAAGGCACTGCATTATGTCTCCTCGATAGACGTGTGGAATGAAACTGGTCTTTCAAGCAGAACGAAACGAGTTTTCGAAGATGACCCGCTCACCGAACATCTGGGATCATTGCCTTGCGAAATGGGATACGCGCAGACTCAGTGGGTGGCGGATGAGATGGTTCAGAGGGCGCGGGACCGCGGTTTAGCTGCAACCATCTATCGACCAGGGTTCGTGATTGGGGACAGTTCAAGGGGCTATGGAAGCACAGATGATTTCTTTGCACGACTGGTCGTTGGCTGCATTCAGACCCGTCAATTCCCCCATCTTCCAAACCAGCGACTTGAGTATGTGACGGTGGACTTCGTCTCCTCGGCCATTTTACATATTGCATCAAAGTCTGAGAGCCTCGGGCGATCATACCATCTCGTCTCTCAAGATGTGGCGCAGTCGGTGAGTATAGAGGAGACATGCGGTTTGATTAACCAAGCTGGATATCCTGTCAAGCAAGTTCCGTACCAGGAATGGGTGGAAACTATCCGAAATTCTCCGGGGAATCCATTGGAGTCGATGATTCCCATGCTGCAGGAACCAGTTCTGGAGAACTTGACTCGGATGGAGGCAAGTATTTATACTCCAGTCTTTGAGACCAAAAATACGGTCGAGGCTCTTGCAGATCGGCCTGATATTAAATATGTTCCTCTGGATCATGAGTTACTGCAACGGTGCATTGATTTTTGGGTGAGTAGGGAATACTATTCTCTCAAATAGTCTTGTTTAAACAATCCCATATTCACGCATGGGTGTATTCAACCGAAATCAAATTGAGCCTACGCTTGGCTTCGGCTTCCTTCCCAGAAATAAGCAGTAAGATAAGTTCATATGATCTGGTTCAGCGCAGATCCTCTCTTGTGAAATTGTACAATCGCTCGTGCATTCTCATCTCTGTGCATTCACTCCCTTCCACACAGTCGCTCTGCACCTCTTGGCGCCTTCGGGCGTATAGTGCCGCACCACGGGCCGCCGCGAAAGTTGGATCCATTACGAGTTCGATATTGGCAGGACCAGGCAAGAGTTCAGACATAGAATCCCTAAAGATAGCCAGGGAGCGAGGGTGCGTTGCGCTCTCGCCAGCTAGAAAGAGATGCGTAATAGGATATTTGAACTCTCGAGGGAGGATCTGGAGTTGTGAACGAAGACGATCCCATAGTGCGGCTTCGTCTTTCTCGAGAAGATGATCTAGCCCAAGCTCGTAATCTACAAGCTGCGCCTCAACACTAGTAAGCCGACTAAGAGCTTCACTGGTGAGACCTTCCGCAATGCTGGCATATAAGAGATTGCGGGTTACAGGAAACAAAAAATATGGTACGATCAGGTGTCTCTGCAAATTCGTCCATGCAATGGAAGAGATCCTGGTATTCGGGGCATAGTCCGTAACCGCTGGCTGCATAAACAGCATCTCCCTCCACTAGTCGACGTGTGTAATAACCGCTGTCGCCTACCCATGTGCGTAGATCTAACATTCGAAGTGCGGCGTTGATCGTCGCTGTGGTAAGCGACTGGAAGCCGGGGTCTGTAACGGCAACCCTGTCGAGAGGCTGGGAGATTGTCTTTTCAGAGGAGGTTTTCAGTTTGTGGAGTAAATCGCTGATTATTTCGACGTCATCTGCTTTTACTGGTCGACCGAGTTTCGTGTCCAGCCAACGCCACCAGTCTCTCCACGGCGACGACACGTCCGGGAGGAGATATTCCAGCAAGCGTGGTTGAATTCTACTTATAAAACCGAGAGTTGAATCTGGAGACGGCTTAGATGTGGTAGCTAGGCGTGCCATGAGTTCGAGGTACTCTGGACTCCCCATAACTTTGGCAATCTCGACAACAGTCCCATTATAGTAGTGCACTACCGCTGTCCTGGATGTCAAGCATTAGATTTCTGTTAATAGGGAAAGGCTGTTGGAATGCGCACCCGTACGAGGGGGTCAGGTCGAAGCCAACCCCAGGGGCATCGTGAACCTTCGCAGGAAGACATGTATCACACCAATAACCGGTACAGCCGTGTCCGTACCCAACATTGACGAAAGACACAAGGAGTGCCAGAGAACACATATACAGTGTCCTCATCCTCATAAAAATGAGATTGGTACGCATATCTTGTGCAGGGATGTTGTGAGTTAGGTGTCCCCAACGAAAACCAGATTCTAGAATATGAGGTTCCAATATGCGACAAATATTGGGAGAACTTCCGAGCTTGTCATAGAAATGCTGATATGTTCACAATATATCCGTGTACTCTCCATGGATGTGTAGGCACACCTCGTTAATTACGCGACTCCTTGGAAGTGAAAACTGCCCATGGGCAGATGCAGAGGCTTACCCAAAGTAGTTTGGTAGGCGAATGCTTGTAGATATTTCACTCCTTTCGGGCCATAGTGGTCATTTCATATTGTCTACTTCTTAGTTCTATGGTTTGTTCTTTGATGTTCTGAGTCAATTTCATAGGTCCTCACATTCTATGTGTAGAGATCAATCCGCCTTGATTATAGAACGGAAGACGACAGAGCCATTATTCAAATAGAGAGAGTATAAAAGAGACATCAAGGTATTACCCACATTCCCTCAAACTCGGACATACGCTGTAGAGTGGAGTATCACATTAGCACCATGTCCGAAACCATGTGTATACTGCAAGACACAGAGAGGCAACACTTACTAGCATCAATCTGTTGGATATTCGGCAATGCCAAGCGCACCTTATTCCGATAAACGGCAGGCCCATTCAGTTGCAACGGGTTACCCTCGAAGTAAACAGTCTGCAACTTCTCCTTATCCTTGAGCTCACGCTCAACTTCCTCAAAGCTAGCAAGCTGATTATTCGACCCCCACAGCTCCTCGAGGTTTTTTAGGGAAGAAAGATGTTCAAGATGGGATACCTGGTTGTTGGAAAAGTCGAGCACGCGAAGTGTCTCGTTGGATTCCAGTCCTGAAAGGTCGGTTATCGCATTGTGAGAGAGGTAGAGCTCTTCAAGCTTCGGGAGCGCGGAGAGACCAGTGATTTTGGTGAGGCGGTTGGATTGGATGGAGATGATGCGGAGGTTTGATAGGTTGTCCAGGTTCTGCGAAGGTGTCAGCTTCTCTAATTCTTAAGGTATTTTGGGTGACAAATTGTGGACCTTCATTTCAACGATCTTGTTTTTCCCGAGCCAGAGCTCTTCCAGCGCCGTCAGTGTTTCCAAGTTTTCGATTTCCTGAACAGACCCCGTCAGCTTTTCCATCGTTCACCTCATATGCGGGTATCATATAGTACGAACTCGGATCTTATTCGCGCCCAGCTCCAAGTTCTTGATTGCGGTCAATTCCTCCAAGCCCTCGATACGGGAGATTTTGTTCTGCACAAAGAAAATCTCGGTCAATTTCTTCAAATGCGAGATATTCTTGATATGCTTGATCTTGTTAAAGCTCAGATCCAAGCTTGTCAAGTCATGGAATTCCTCCAGGCCCTTGATGTGGGAGATGAGGTTATCGTAGAGGTCGAGTTCGGTCAAACTGGCGGCGACATTTGGAGGGAAGTTGATTCGTGATATTTGATTCTGGCGCATGCATAGTCTCTATATATCCCAGCGCGTTAGCCATCTAGGTAAATCAAAGGAATGCCGTGTCGTTGCGCTTTTGCGTCTTTGAGGAAAAAGTGGTGCCATATGCCCCTCTCAGCTACCAGACACATGCAGATTCCAGGGTTGTTGAGGGTATGTACCTGAAGCTTAGGGAAGCGTTCCAACTTAAGAGCAGAAATCGACGATATCCGGCAATGCACGAGGTCAATATCCTACAGCAGAAGAACGATTAGCAATCGCGTCGCGCGCGTCGATCAGCGGAGAGGCCAGGGCTATCTGCCTACCTCTGCATTAACATCTTCGTCTGCCAATAGATCTAAATAGCCGTTAGCCGATCGCCTCCAAAGACTCTCCCTCCTGAACAATCAATCACCCAGCGACCGTACCTTCATCAGCCTCAATCTCTTCGACCGGAGGTGCATCAGGATCCGAGTAATCTGAATCCTCCAGCGCCTCCGGGTTTGTAATAACGGCCTTTGGCTCCATCCTCATTTTTCCGTCCCAGCCCTCCTTGTTCTTCATGATTTCCGCCAGCGTGAGAGTTGTGGGATGTTTGGGGGGGCGGTGGGAATCGCGATTGCGGGGAGCTTTCGGCGGTTTTATCGGGAGACGATCGCCAATGGGTTATTTTAGAAACAACGAAAATCCCAGGAGATGCGCTCCAAAGAACGAAGAGGTAATAAAGAGGAAATAAAGAGGTTGCACTGAGCGTCAGGAACTGAAACCTTGGTCTCGGGGAAGGTTGAGGTTGGTGACTACATCATCGTCTTAATGCGGCCTCAATGCGGAATGGCCCCCGAAGCACTTTACCTAGGTACTTGTCTACTTACTTATATCATGGATTATAGATAGGCAATAATTAATGGTTAAATTCATTTCTACTCTAATACAACTTGCTCCATTTTGTTTTCTGGATACGTCTCGGGGGCTATGTACAGCTTCGAGAGCCGTGATCATGTACATTGCATGAAGAATCACTCCAACAATGCTGGCAGTGTAAAGGGAATTATTAGACACTGCGCACTATGAAGGAGATGCGTACCAACTGCCAGGAGGTCCCAGCAAAAAAGAGAGAGCAAATGAAATGCATGCTCGTGTATTGGTGAGCTGAGATCAAGCCAGTAAGGCCGTGTAGCAAGGCAGAAATGGGAAAAGGAAAAAAACATAGGGGGGGATACAGCGGGGACATGATAACCAAGAGACGCCTGCAGAATGCATGAAAAGCGGACTTGTTGGGTGTTGGGAATGGGGAGAGAATACACAAAAAGGGAAGATCAGGACATGAGGGGGTGTTGATAAAGCACAGGGTAAGAAATAGAAAAGGAAATGGGGGAATGGGCTCGCTCGGAGCGTAGTGAGATACAAAGTCAAATTGCAATGCAGAAGGTCGAAGATGGTCAGGTTAATGTACTATCCAAGAACGACAACAAATGCAGGAGACGCGGCCCTGGCCCAGTAGGATACCAGTTCCATCTGGGACCATGTTCTGTCGTCGAGAAGGGGAATCGGAAGTAGGAAATAGGGCGACTAGCCATCAATGGCAGCAATGCTGGAGGAACGCAAAAGGAAAGGGCTTTTCTCGCGTAGAAAAGAAAACAATTCGCTCAAAATGGATATCTCAGGCGTAAGAAGGATCCAGTCGATCTAGAGGGTGCAGTCGAGGACCATGCTGACATCTTGGACTTGGGCCCCTGCAAGATCCTCGAGAACGGGGATGAGATCGAGCAACTCGTTATCGTGAGCGTCAGAGAACCAGCTACTGATGGGAATCGCGTGCTCAGGGTGGAAGATGTAGGATGTAGGGGAATTATCAATGATAATTGTTTCCTTCAGGTCTCGACCAACTTGTGAGAGATCCTGGATAATCGTTAGCTTGTTCTCAATCTCTAAAAGGGGCAAAAAAAGCCCACCTTGACGTAGTTCCCCTGGTGGTTATAACAACTTTCTCGGAATAGGCGATGATGAACCACGTTGTGGATATCCAGTTGATCGAGCAACGGGTCGCCATACTATAACTCAAGTCAGTGTACGTCACTCGCCAAAGCCATCAACTATTAACTGACCTTTGAAACTGAGGCAGTAAATACCACCACTTCGTAAAGCTCACCAACGCGCTTCATGAATGCATCCACACCAGGACGTTTGATCACATAGATGTTGTGGTATTGACCTTCAATCTCAACTGGAATAGTGAAGTCGGCACGCTCCAAAACCTGTCAAATCAGTGAGTGGGATGATACAATAATACGATGATACGCCTTGCGCGCATATTGAAAGCGAGGGAGACTTACCTTGAAGCTGCTGTGAACCAGTGTTTCATCAAGATCGAGAACCAAGCACTTTCGGCCGCGTAAGTGGGGCAAAGGTGCAGGGAGCAAAGGCTGCGCTGCGTCCTCATAGTGGCCTCGAGCTGGGGGTGCCGGGGGTGCCGGGGGTGCCGGGGGTGCCGGGGGAGCAGGTGGCAGCGGTGGTGGTGGGGAGGGATCACAACAGGGGGCTTCATTTCTTGATGAGATGCAACTTCTTCTTGGCCGTCAGTACCAAAATCTTTAGGGATGGCTGACGTTGATGCAGAATTGAGGTCCTCGGTGGTCGAGGTTGATTGACCCTCTCGATCTTGAGTGTTTGCATCTGCTTTCACTTCAGGTACAGATCCCAGCGCAATTCCTGTTTGATCATGCGGGGTAACATCATCGGTTTGATCTTTCTGGCCAGAAACTTCTGGCTGTGTGGCATCCGCAGATGGACCATCACTTTGCACGCTAGCCATAGCAGGCTGAACATTGCGGTCTTCTTCACCGGGCTGATCAGCGCTGACTGTGGAGTTTGCCTTTTCATCTAGATATGGCTCCCTTGATTCTACGGTGCTTGAGTCAGTAGGAGCCTCCGTCTTGTCTGGAGTAGGCAACCTGTTGGAAGCAGGTTGCCGCATGGTTGTTTTCTTTGCAGGCACAGCAGTGTCATCTGCATCAACGTCCGATGAGGAGCAACAGCCCAAGAAAGCCAGGAACTTCGATGAACTTTTCTTCTGTTGGGGCTTCGGGGGACTGTCATCAGCCATAGTCGCCGCCTCTTTACTTTCCTCCACATTCACTCCGTTCTGAGGCTGGCGCGACCGTCGGCTACTTGCCCGGCTGTGATCCCGTTTCGACCGCAGGATGCTCACTTTGGAACTCCTCCGAGAAGGCCCATCCTGCGCCGCTTCCTCAGTCTTTTCCGACCCCTGTTGTTTGTTGATTTTCGAGGATCGTCGCGACGGGATGGGGATCAACAAATGACGTTTCTTGGGTGCGTCGGCGCCTTCAGCAGCGGTTGTGGTGCTCTCCGCTGGTGCAGTGGAAGACGGTGCCGGGTCGGAAGGCGCAACTGAAGTTGCGTCCTGGATCTCGGTCGCATCGGTACGTCTACCCTGTTCGGGCTCAGTACCTACGGAAGGAACGACGTCAGCAATCATATCGCCCTTGGGTACAACAGGTGAAAAAGAACAAGCGCATTTCACTTACTGGCTGAGCCCGGAAGGCCGGAGGTATCCATAGGTGCGTTGTTTGCGGATTCCAGAGCTGAATCTCGCGCGGTGCTCTCTCCACTCATCGAGGGTGGCTGGCGGTGTCAGGTGCCTCAACACAGGTAAATATAGAAAAGGGGAGTGAAGCGAAACAGTTCCCAGGTCTGAAAGGCCGAGTCAATGCCAGGACTCTCCAAGGTTGAGAGCGCGGCTAATAGGGGACGTTAACACGCCTCCTAGGATAATAAGCAAGCGATTTGGGAAGTTCGCACGTACCGCCTTTGGACCCGGGAGTGATTCAACGCCCACACTATTGCTTCAAAAAAAAACAACAAACTAAACGAACAGAAAAGGGATGTGATATCTCTACTTGCTTTAGGGAGGATTTTCGGGGGGGGGAGTCGAGAGGAGTCGGGGGAATGTCACGTGAATCTACGGTGTGGGAAAACGGGGGAGAAGAGGAAATGGGATTTATTTCCTTTTTTCCATATTTTTTGACGCTAAACAGGGCTAACAAGGCTAGCAAGGCACAGGGGGGTCCTTTTTCACACGCTACTCCAAGCCCTCAGCGGCTACGGTAAATCCCGACTTGCTATCACGCTGTGCAGAGTCGTACCCTGTACTTGGCCAATGCTACTCTCATGTTGAATGTGGGATTCTTGTTCCTTTGCTCTATATATCGTTCATAGAACCCGTGGACCCTACAAAACAGGGTCTGAGTCAAAACGAGCAGAATCCAAGCAGAATCCTTTTGGAGATGATCCCGATCAGGGCCTGTGGGGGGATCTAACTGTGGATATTAACTGTGATTGTTATGTATGGCCCCTTTTTTATGGCCACTTTTATGCTTTAATAGCCACTCAGATGGCCAGTAGGAGGAGCTATGGCCTACAACATAGAAAACGTGATTGATTTCACTTGATGCGACTCAAATTAGATCCAGTCCAAACCCCAAGCAAACTGTTCACTGGGTTATACCTAGCGGTTGGTATTCGAGTTCTCGAGGTTCCATATTTGGGTTGGAATGTTTTATAGGGGAAGTTGAACCCATAACAAAGGATGTCAAAGAAAATAATATAGATTAAAGACTAGGACTGGGATCCATGGGAATATCCCCAGTATCGCTGGGGGGTCAGAGTCAAAAATTCGGGGTTTCCCCCATTTCTATTATTATCCAAGTTGGACATGCAGGATCCTTGGAGTTCATTGGAAGGTCACCCACCTGGGCAGATGGGAAAAGGCTGGGCTGCAGCAGAAAAGCGTACAGTCAGCTTCCCCACGTGAGGTGCTTCTCCGCATATCCCGAGGTTCACATGCAATGATGCAACCTTGGAAGATATGTCAACTTCACTTTCTGGCCTTGACATGCATTCTCTATGGTTTAGAACACACTCAGAATTAACCTCATGGCCTTCGGAGTCTAGGGACTAACAGTTACCTCGTGAGTCGGAGGTCTCAGGCCATTTGAAGATGGCTGTCCAGTCAACCCTTCGGCGTCCGGAGGATCCCCTCCTGGCATTATATCGTCATTACTCCGACCTCGTACACTCCAAATTCAACCGCACGTCTAAGACCACCCGCTTGATTGCAACGATAGCCCTTCTTTTCTCCATCATCAGCTCGGGTTATGGAGGCTACAAGTGGTTCCGAGGGAGAGCCAAGGAGCGAGCCCAGGGTCGCCGTCTATTACGCCGGAACTCTGGTCTCCGGGGGAAAGATGGATCTCGCACTATCTACGTGCCATACAAGGACTCCCTAACCTCTAAAGTCTTGATTCATCCCACCAAACCGACTACCTTTGACGCTCATCGACGACTATTCCTCAACCCCCCAGCATCGGCTCGCGGCAAAGATGATGGCTCGACAAGCCATATTCCTCCCCCTACAACCAAACCAGGTCTGAATTTGGCTTTTCTGCATCAGTTCTTGAGCTTGGGTAGTATCATGGTCCCAAGATGGGGAAGCAAGGAGACTGGATTATTGATGAGCCATGGCCTTTTTCTCTTGATGAGAACCTATCTCTCACTATTGATTGCACGGCTTGATGGTGAGATCGTGAGGGATCTCGTCGCTGGGAAAGGGAAGGCTTTCCTTTGGGGTATTCTCAAGTGGTGTGGGATTGGAACCCTTGCTTCGTATACCAATGCGATGATCAAATTCCTCCAATCGAAGGTGTCCATCGCCTTCCGCACTCGGTTGACCCGTTATATCCACGACTTATACCTAACCGACAATAACAATTATTACAAGCTGATGAACTTGGATGGCGGAATCGGTCAAGGGCCAGATCAATTTATCACACAGGATCTTACCCTTTTCTGCTCGGCTGCCGCATCACTGTACTCCTCAATGGGAAAGCCGTTGGTGGATCTTTTCGTATTCAACTATCAACTCTACCGCTCACTCGGCCCCCTTGCCCTGAGCGGCATTTTGGCTGGGTATTTCAGCACAGCCGTGGTGCTCCGGAAACTGTCACCACCATTTGGAAAGCTTAAGGCAGTAGAGGGCAAGAAGGAAGGGGATTTCCGTGGTTTGCACTCACGACTTCTAGCCAATGCCGAAGAGATCTCCTTCTACGGCGGAGCTGATACCGAGCGGGTGTTCCTAGTCAGAAGCTTCAAGGAGCTGCAGCGATGGATGGAGGGCATTTACAGTCTCAAGATCCGCTACAACATGCTCGAAGACATGATCCTGAAGTACTCCTGGTCGGCATTTGGTTATTTGATAACTTCCCTGCCCATCTTCCTCCCTGCCTGGGGTGGCTCGGGTGGTGCAATGGAATTGGCCGGTGCACCCGAAGGCATGGGTCGCGAGCGTGGCCGCATGAAGGAGTTCATCACTAATAAACGCCTCATGCTTTCGCTCGCCGATGCTGGAGGCCGCATGATGTACAGCATTAAGGATATCTCGGAACTGGCTGGCTACACCTCCCGCATCTACAGCCTCATTGCCACCCTGCACCGTGTTCACGCCGATGCGTATTACACCCCACGGGGCTCACATCCCGAACTATACTCTCTTGCAGATTCCCAAGGCACCATCCACAACGGCTTCGACGGGGTCCGTCTGGAGCAGGTCCCGATCGTCGCACCGTCCCTCTACCCAATGGGCGGCGACGAACTCATCGAGTCGCTCTCATTCATCGTCCATTCAGGCGACCACCTCCTCATCTCAGGTCCAAATGGCGTAGGCAAGTCTGCAATCCCCCGTATTGTGGCCGGGCTCTGGCCCGTATACCGCGGGCTGGTTAGTCGCCCTCGAGGCTTCGGCCTCGATGGAATCATGTTCCTCCCCCAGCGGCCGTATCTTAGTGTCGGTACTCTTCGGGACCAAGTCATCTACCCACACACGGAGATCGACATGCGTGAAGCTGGCGAGACAGACGCAGCTCTACAGAAGATCCTCGACGACGCCCATCTTGGTTATCTGCCACAGCGTGAAGGTGGATGGGACGCTCGCAAGGAGTGGAAAGACGTTCTGAGCGGTGGTGAGAAGCAGCGCATGGGCATGGCACGGCTCTTCTACCATGAGCCGCGGTATGCATTCATGGACGAAGGTACCTCGGCTGTTTCCTCGGACGTCGAGGGCTTGCTATATGACAATGCCAAGGAGCGAGGTATTACTCTCATCACCATTTCGACGCGGGCGTCTTTGAAAAAGTACCATACCTACAACCTGACTCTTGGCCTGGGTGCCGAAGGCGAGGTCTGGGAGTTCGAGAGAATCGGTACGGAGAAGGAGAAGCTTGGTGTTGAGAAGGAACTTCAGGAGCTGCGGAAGCGTCTGGATAAGGTGGATGAATGGAAGCAGCGCCGCGAGGAAATAGATCAGGAGCTGCAGAAAGTTTGGGCCAATGGTGCTGAAGTCGCACCGCCGCCTTATCAGGAAGAAGAGCACTCTGGCTCTGAGGCGCTAGTTGAAGCAACTGCGAATTGAATTTTAACAGTCAACATGTACAATCTCGAAGGTCTTTCATCATGAATCTTAGAACTTTAACAAATTCATCTGCCTATGTATGTATACTAGGAATATTTCCAAGGTTCTGTTTAGTGTTATATCAGCCGCTCATGCAGCCTCCGTCATTGACGTAAAAATTTAGTAATTTAATATATCGAACAGGTTGTTCAAGAGATATAGGGATTTCTATCATATGTAAGAAGACTCCAATGTCCAATTGGATATTCTTCTTATGTATCTTTCTAGTCTTTCTAGGTATGTTTTGTTGTATACGATTCGAAAGACTCGAATTAAAGCGGCAACAGAAATCTCCCCTTTTTCTTCACCGCCCTCTTAAAGCGGCGGTGTGCGTTATCGATAAGCCCAGCACAAAGAGAAAACCATCCATGGATGGAGATCTCCATAGTTCATCCTATCAACAACTCTTTCTTCGTACAAACATCTATTGTCTGTAGACACCCGGCAGTTTCTTGTGCTACATCTTTTTTTATCTGATACTTCGTACCATTACCGAGTCTTAGCTCCTGTAGAATCCAGTCTGCACTTCCTGGGCTCCCCAGGTGGGGAAGACAAACATGTCTTCTAGCAGCGAGGATGAGGATCCCAATGTCAATGTTATCCCCATGGATAACTTCCCCAGCGATGGAGACATGAGTACCTGGCCTGTGGGTAATATCTACACTGAACGCTCTGATGCGCGATGGCGACAGTTACTTGCTGAGAACTGGCTCAAAGATATGGGCACTTATGAAGATGGTAAGTTGACTACAGATGTTTTGGGTCATGTTTTGTTTGGCATGCTGGGTTGTTCGATTGTGCTGTTTTACGAGTTGCACAATTTGGGTGACTGCATCTGTCGCTGAATTCAACTGTCATGTGCTCAGTTGCTCCTCCACTCCTTCGCTCCTTTGTGTTTTATGCTGGCCTGCTTCATCCTTTCTTCTCTGTTTCTATGCTTCATATCCCTACTCTCATACTGATATAACATACGTCAGGTGTCATTCATACCATTGAAAAGTTGCCTGAGGGATACTGTCTATTTCAACGAGAACGTGGGACCAACCCTGGCATGGTGAGCTTTCAGAGTTCTCATCTTGGTTTACAACTAATAATCCTACGTGAAGTTCGA